GAGATTTGACAAAATAAGGTGTGATATATATGGGGTCTTTACAAATAAGAACATCAATGGGTACTTATTCATAAAGAGATCCAGACAATAAACTCCTGTACAAAAAAGTCCACACATGGTCCCGATTTTTGTAAAAGACTAAAATAGCCCCTCATACTGTAATATGCTTCAATTGCATCATTTAATTTAATTTAATTTAACCTCAATTTGACCTCAAATTTCACAAATTATTCAATTATGACCCAGAACACATTTTTATGCACAATTTCGCCCGTCACCGCCAGTCAACCGCCGTTGACTTTTTTTTTTTTTTCTTCCGGATTTTTTGGCCGGTTTCCGGTGTTGACTTTTCTGAATATTTTCTTTCTTTCTTTCTTTAACATCTTTTTTTTTCGTTTAGACAACAATATTGCTGTGATTGACAGTAATATTAACTATATTACTGTTAAACACAGTAAAATTAACTATACTACAGTTTAACACAATAATATTGTTATATTAATCTCTCTAGCACATTAATATTAACACAACAAAACTCATTATTATTGTGTAATAAAGTAATATTACTATGTTGACCGTTCAACAAATGTAAACATAATAAAAAACCAAAAGAATTAATACTACGGTGAGTGACAGTAATATTACTATAACAACAGTAAATATTACCGTCAACCACAGTAATATTACAATAATAGACAGTAATGTTATCACGTTACTTCGTGAATAACTCAAACAAACAAAAAAACCCAAACAAAATAATAATATCGATGTGGTTGACAGCAATATTACTATAACAACAGTAATATTACAGTCAACCGCAGTAATATTATTGTGTTTACCGTAATATTACAATAATAGACAGTAATATTATTACGTTAATCCGTGAATAACTCAAACAACACAAAAAACCCAAAAAAATAATAATATTGATGTGGATGACAGTAATATAATTGTGTTTGCAGTTATTTTACTGTCAACGACAGTAATATAATTACGTTGACTTGTCAACAAATCAAACAAAATTAAAAAAAGTAACAAAGAAATTCAGAATAATATCACGTTAATTTACTGTGAACGGCAGAAGAATCACATAAATGTATTGTCAACGGCAGTACAATTACGTTAATGTATAGTCGTTGACAGTATAATTGCGTTAATTACTATCAGTGATAGTATAATTACGGTCAACGTTTAGCGGCGGACGTAAAAAAAATAATAAAAATACACACAAACACACACACACACACACACACACACACACACAGACACCACTAGAAAGACACTAAAAAAAGTCAAGGCCGAAATCCGGCGGCGGAATAGACCAGACAAAAAAAAATGTCAACGCCAGAGACTGGCGTAAAAATCCGGAAGAAAAAATAAATAAATAAATTCGAAAAGTCAATGCCGGAATCCTGCAACAAAAAAAAAATTGAAAAAAAAATCAAAATTGGATTTTTGTGGTCAAAATTGGATTTTTGTGAACAAAATTGATTAAATTGGGGTTACAATTAAGAATTGAGTATAAAGGGTTGAGGGTAATATTGTCATATACATATTTCCTTTATTTATAATATATATTAAAGGGATGGGCTTATTGGTGAAAGAGATACAACTGAATAGTAAAGATGCTTGGTTAGGGACCTATATATGCACAAAAACTCCAATATATATTAGGGGCCTTGAGATATAGGTCCCTAGTGACAAAACTTATTAGAACTAAATGAAAAGCTCAACTAAACATTTGTTTCACATCCTTTATAAAATTCATTCCAAAAACGCCCCTCCACTAACAAATTTAAAATCTTTATTAAATAATTAAATTGCCTTAATTATTTTTTTATTCAACATTTAATATTTTCATTTTTTGTCTGACGTTTTTTTTTATTTATTTTTTACAAAATACCCAATGGTCTTTTTTTCTCTTTCTTTCTTTATTTTAGCATTTTATAGACTATTATCAAAAACTTCGTTGTATAATTCTTCTTTTTTATAC